CCCCCCGTCGGGGAGAAAAAGCACAATTCGTCAGGGAGAAAACAATATTATATGTATTTTTTACATATTAGTAGACTCTAAAATCGATTAAATAAGCCTTCAAAACCCCTAAATTGTCGAAATTTTCGGGGGCTTCGTCCCAGGACCACTTTTTGAGCCTTTTAATCCAAGCCCACTTTGCTTTCGTCGGGGAAATCTGACACCTCGTCGGGGGCACTGCCCACCCCCGTCGGGCAAATCCTGGCGCCACCCCTGGTAATTATGGTATCAGTGTTGTCTCTTTCAGGCACATTTGACCTGGGTGTGAAGGTCGATTCATTATTTTTCATTGGCAGTCAGCTTGTTGCAACAAGCCATACAGGAAAAGTAGGAGTTTGGCATGCTGTAACCCGCAGTTGGCAGGTAAACAATCTGGTATAATCAGGTCACATTGTCATTATATGACCTCATGTAGTTGTCACTGTTTTTTTTTTATTGCACATCAGTCATGTGATTCAATTTACCTAAAGTTAGATTGTGGGTTTCCTCATACAAAACAAAATATAAAAGAAAGAATATGCTATACTTTTCAACATCGAAGAAAATGTATGCATGTGAATGCCGTCTTGGGAGAGGGTACCCTCCTCTTTTAAACATTGCGATGTCTTAGATGCAAAATGGTGCTCTATTTTTCAATATTCGACTGATTCTATCGCGTCGGGAATTTCCGTTTTTTAGGTTAGTTAGAAATATATAATGTTAATACTTACCTTACGTATCTGATGTAGCCAAATATAAATATATATAAAACGACTAGGAAATAAGTGTTTTATACGCAGGCCAAAAGAGCAAGTATGTTAAAACCAGATTTAAAGACTTGGGTGGAAAAAACAGGTGGTTCACTACTTTCCCCCCGGTTTTTTGTCAAATATACTTTTTAATAGAAAAACCAGTTGTACAACATATCAAAAAATGTTTTTCCTCCGGAGCCTGACTTGAACATATTTTAGATCTCAGAGGGTTTCCCCTACTCAAAGACTCACACACCTAACGTGCAAATGTTAAACCATGGTAAAACTATATGCAATAGGAGCCATGGATGTTCACGAGCATTATCTTTGTGATTTAAATGTTGTTTTAAGTCAATCGTGACGTCATCACTGCAACTCCCAATGTTATTTGCCTATTCCCCACCTTCCACTAATTTTTTTAATTAGTGGACGCTTAGCTTGATTTTTTTTAGGTTCGTGTGCAAAAAAAAATTCCTCATTTTTTTCGTCACCACCGCGAAGACATCACGCACCGGGGCGATAAAAATTAAATTGTAATTGAAAATTTCTTTCGTAAAACAAGCTTAATGAGAACTCGAAGAAAGCTACTTCAAATTCAATATTAAGTATGAACAAATAACCAAGTAAATGGAAAATTATTATACTTAGGTTAGATTTGTATAATTACCACACATCATCAATGATGCATTTTGTTATCGATTAATAACTTCCACAAAATGCATATATTTCCTAAGTTTTTGGCATGTAATCCATTTTAGGAAGATGGGATTTCCAAGTCATAACATGGCTAAATTCCAAAAAAAAAAAACACAAAAAAAACAATGAACACAAGCTGTTTGTTTAAAGATATACTACTCTGCATTGAGCTTATAAATCCGAAACATATAATTTAATATTCAAATTGCATAGTTATTTACATAAGATCTTTCTTTTAAAACAAAAGCCTGAAAATACTTTCCTTGTCAATTTAACAGATGTACCATATCAAATAACCCTGTATCTATATGTAGCAAAAAATAGAATGTTAGTTATTATTACAGAATTAAAAAGTAAAATGAGAGCTATGAAATTGTAAAGGAATCATTTAAACCCGACATTTCGTTATAAAGTTACAGTTTAAACATGCAGCTGTTTAAACAACTTTGAGAAATCAGCTTTCAAAATTTACGATTTAGGGCATTTCTTAGGCAGAAACCATCATTAAATCATTATAAATTGTTGTTTTAATTGTTGTCGCTAACGTCCTTTTTGGTCGGTGTATGCAGACAGGTAAATCGTGCAATGATTTCATAACTAGGCTAGGCTAAGGCCTAGTAGTAGGCTTGTGCGGCCTGGCTGTAGACCTACATCTAAAATTGTTCTTAGAGTCTTTAAAATAGATCTAAAATATTCCTATTAAATGTTCAGTTTATTGTGTTTATGAGGGTCTTTTGATTCAATGAATTCCTTAATTGTTCATACTTAATATTGAATTTGAAGTAACTTTCTTCGGGTTCTAATTAAAGCTTGTTTTACGAAAGTTTAAATTTTCAATTACAATTCAATTTTTATCGCGGTGCACGATGTCTTCGCGGTGAAGAAAAATCAGCAATTTCTTTTTGCACACGAACCTAAAAAAAAAATCAAGCCAAGCGTCCACTAATTAAAAAATTAGTGGACGGTGGGGAATAGGCAAATAACATTAGTTGCAGTGATGACGTCACGATTGACTTATAATAAGCAATTGTAGAGCTCCGCATAGTACACTATAGAAAAATTAAAGGTTAGATTTAATGCTTGAAAACATTTCATGAGGGCGTTCAGTTTGTTGTGTTTATGATGGTCCATTGATTCAATGAATTATCAAGGTGCCCGATATCTTTGCCGTGACAAAAAATTAGGATTTTTTTTTGCACACAAACCTAAAAAATATCAAGCCAAGCGTCCACTATTAATAGAAAAATTAGTGAACTGTGGTGGATAGGCAAATTACATTGGGAGTTCCAGTGATGACGTCACGATTGACTTATAATATAAATTATAAGTCAATCGTATAATAATTTTCCTATAGTGTACTGCAGTCTCTCGCTATCAAGGCGAGAATCATTCCGTTAGCCCACACGAAGACCATATACCGGTACGATATATAAGCGCAAGTCTAACACCAAGTGTTTTGTAGCCTCTATTTAGTGCCTGAATGAATAATAAGCCTATACTACATTATAATATGCCAATCAATGAACCTTATTTGGACATGTGACCCGTTTGTATACACATTATCAACATGTACATTATACACATACGTCATTTGCTGTTGCGTTGGTGCGTAGTAACCTCTGATAATATTTCATTGAACCACAGCTCAAATAATGATCGCCTAAAGTGACGTCATTGGTATATAACAACATCGTCTTTCAGTAAAAAGTTGGTAGTTCAGTGATCAGTAGGATTGGTTAACTTAGAGTATTTAGACAATTGGCGTAACCTATGCGCTCTCATTCGGAAAACTGCAGGGACCCCGACCTCCTCAGGGCCCCGAAGGGACCCCAACCATAGGTTTCCTAATCTATCACCCTGGCCAAAAAGGTCCTTGTTGATACATAACACCATAATGTGTCTCTGAAAACGAATGTAGGGTACATATTATATTATATCCAGTGGCGGATTAAAGGGAGGGAGCCCTGTTGGCAAGGGACCCCACCAAATTTGTCAACAAATTGTAAAATGCAGATAAAAGAAAATTATATTCACAATTTTAAGTGTGTGAGTGCCATTTCTTGCTATGTAGAATCATGCAGCCATTACCACAATGCTACCACAAATATTTATACCATGTTTTACCCAGGAGTCAGTGAACACATGAACCAAACATTTCTAATAAGACATCATAAATCATAATTATAATAAATTCAAAATATATTCAGAGGCAGTAATGGAAAAATATGTTTTATTTTTTATATTGTGGAGATATGTCAGTTGAACGCAAAATTTTAGTGGTAAATAATCAGTCAATCAATCAATGGATTTATAAGGCGCATAATACAGCAGTCGATATGCGCCAACAAAAAAAATACAGTACTTTATCAGTGTTTATCTTATATCGTCGGTATTATATTATAACTCAATCAAATATGTAACTGTGTATGTGTTATCGCTGTACAAATAAAACGTATATGGACAAAAGTAGTCATGGAAATTCGTATTCATATTCGTATTTTAGTTCAGTTTACATAAATTTATAAACAAATAGATCAACTATAATAATAATAGTGATCGAATAGGAACATAAGATGTTATATTTATATCAAGCCTGCATTCAAGTTGTTTAATAAAAAGTGTCTCTATCGGGATTCGAATCTGCAGTCTCTCGCTATCAAGGCGAGAATCATACCGTTAGAAAACACGAGACCATATACGGTATATAAGGTGTTTTGTTAGCCTCTATTAGTGCCTGAATGAATAATATAGCCCATTATATATGCCAGTCAATGAACCTTATTTATCAACATGTACATTATACCTTGCACACGTCATTTGCTGTTGCGTTGACTTCATGATATTGTTATAATTGTAGTAACTCCTTGTAATATTTCATTGAACCACAGATCAAATAATGATCGCCTAAAGTGACGTTACTGTTATATAACAACATCGTCTTTCAGTAAAAAGTTGGTAGTTCAGCGGTCAGTGGAACTGTTTTTAGACCAGTGGCGTAACACTTATGCGCTCTCATGCGGCAACATGCAGGGACCCCGACCCCTCGTAGCCCCGATGGGACCCAACCATAGATTCTTCGGTCTAGCAGCCTGGCCAAAAAAGACTTTGTTGATACATAACACCATAATGTGTCTCTGAAATTGACTGTATTGTATATATTATATCCAGTGGTGGATTAATGGGCGGGGATCCTGTTGGCAAGTGACCCCACCAAATTTGTTAACGAATTGTAAAATGGAGATAAAAGAAAATTATATTCACAATTTTAAGTCTGTGAGTGCCCTTTCTGGCTATGTAGACGTGCCATAATCATAAATTGTCTTAAACTCAGCCCCACCAAGGCAACAGCATAATGTGTCTCTGAAATCAACTATAGTACATAATTATATCATATTATATGCAGTGGTAGAACAAAGAGGGAGTCCTACCGGCCCGGGGCCCTACTAAATTTTCCTAAATATTTTTAAATGGAGGTAAACAGAAAATTATATTCACATTTTATGTCTGTGTGAGGTATAGTACCGCATAGACTCCAACTTCGGCCAATTTATTTCAAATTTATATCATTTTTTCGTCGTTAAAACATTTAGAATAACAATGTTAACATAATTAAAAAACGAGCAATGATTAAAAAACGAGCACATTGAAAATTCCACGATAGAATTGGCGACCGGGACCCAAAAAGAACACCCAGTTTCAGAAAGCCACAGGGCCCTGGCCCCATCGTTACTCTACGGTACTGATTTAGACGAGTTGCAAACGCAAGAATGCGTTACTTGTTTGCATCGCGTCTAAATGCTCTGGAGTGAACAAAAAATTACAGACTGAAAATTGATTTGCGTCAACCCCTGTAAAGATGAGCGTTGTCATTAATAAAATGGACGATGACAACGCTTCACCTTCATTCTGTTCGAAATGCCATTTCAGGATCTTGATATTCGGATTCGTTGTCGATAATCGTTTCTTCGTTTGGATAGTCTGCAGCGTCTATGTCCAGGGTAGTTGCACTGTCCATATTGGTAGCCGATAAACCTATGTCTCTGTCCAGGTGAGCCGCTGCTTCTCTGTCCAGAGACGATCCAGGTTGCAGAAATTGATGTGGTAAGAGGTAGCGCGTCCCAAACTGCTCCTCAACATCTTGATAGTCTGCTGAGTCTCCCAACATGCTGATCGACTCCACTCTCTGACTGGTCTTTGATGGGTTCGTGACATCATTTTGTGATCTGAAAGTACTTTCCTTAACCTTACTCTCAGGATAGCTTCTGGCACTGACATTGTCAACTTCTGTGGCATCGTATTCTGACGATGATGCATATATTGTATGATAATAAGGACCCGGTGGGCGACCAACTACCGCTGGCCAACCATTCCCAGGTTTGGTCAAATCTGGATACGCGTATCCGTCACTGGTTGAGGCCTGACTTTGAATATCTCGTCGAGTTTTCGCGTTGTCGTCATCGGCCGGCGTTTCGTAGAATCTATTACGGTCATGCTTTGGTGTCGGGACAGCATACTCTGGACTGTTGTCTGTTAGTTTGTGTTTATTATTGTGTAGTAGACTTGTGTACGGACGTTGGTAATCGGAGAGATAGTAAGTGTACCCCGTTTCGGGATTGACGGGAATTGCCGGTAAAGTACCTTGTTGAGAATATGGTATGTAAGTAGAATATGCACTATCAGCTTGACTCTGCAACGTAGCACCTGATGACGTAAAACGTGATATTAATATTAATATACACATGATTGATCAGAAAAGCACATAGGCCTATAACAGACCTTAGGTGGTACAGTAGGCAAGCAAAAACATGCAATTTTTGTGTTCCAATTTCAACCTTAGAGTCATAATTATGCATCATTATTTTGAATAAACTGTCAGTGGTTGCGCCAATTTTCCCACCCGTCGGACAGGCCTGGACCCCCCCCCCCCCTACCCTATCATTCGACAAACGACTAGGTCGTCGGACTAAAATATTAAAAAGATAATAATTTACCTATCCAAATAACGCTATTTTCATTGCCAATCCCTAATATTGTGGTCTAAAAGCATATTTAGGACCAAATTAAGCCATAAAAAAGCTCCCCATTAACCCTAACAGGGATTTATTTTTAAATTCCTGGCCGTTGATCGAGGCTTCTTCGTCACCGTGGTTCAGACCCCTCCGTCGGACACGTCGGACCCCTTGTCGGCAAATTTCTGGCTCCAGACCACTGTCTCCTATATTGAATCTTCTTTATTATTTGTCATTCAACGATTGTATTGATTGTATTGATTGTATTGATGATTATCAAATTTTATTTGACAAAAACGTGTGAGATACCTAAATATGATCATTATGGCATAAAATCATGACCATATATAGGCACATTATGACTATATATGGGCATACACAGGGGCGGATCTAGTGGGCAGCCGAAAAAAAAAAGGCAGACAAAATTGAGGAAAGAGGAAAAAAATGAAGTGTACACATAAGTTCAGTGGCGGATCAAGCAGTGGGCGAAAGGAGAGCTCGATTATTTTACCACTCACTAATTTTGAATTTTCTACTGATTGACGACGAACACAACGTTATATCCCCGACGCCGATTTTTGAAACGATCTAATAAATCAGGATGTCTAAAAGGCCAAAAGATGGAGACATAAGACAGAATTTTTTAGCCATTATTACGGAATGTAGACCAAGCTAGAACAGCTATCCATGATCATGGCATTAACGCCTAGGTACTCTCGTGCGGCTACCGACCCTTAGGGGCCCCTTCGGTGCCCCTCCCATAGGGTCCTCGCTCTATATAGCACCCTCATTCAAAAGGGCTTTGTTGATACCAGCATAATGTGTGGGGTACCAGTCGGTCAGGACTCCTACATTTGCCAAAATATAAAAAAAAGTGTAGATAAAAATAATATTCATGGTGAAGCTGAGGTGGGTGTAGACTACTCATTGGGCCCCCGTCAGAAAATTTATGGATCCACCCTTGATACAACAGTTTTTGGACAGAGCTTTAAACCACTCATCATGATTAGACAGCGTGGGGGTGTGGAGGGCATGCGTGTTTTTCTTCTCTGAGACACGTAGGCATCAGTATTTAACAATAGGCCTAATCGGATCTCATTTGAAATCATTCTGTGCGTTACACGTTAATTGTGTTTCGTCCTTGTAACTCCCATCTTCGTTATGTGCCCATGTACTATTAACATAAAATGTATTATATTCTCTTACTGTTGGCCACACCAAATGTTGTTTTCGTCATTTTTCTGTTACTACCGTCATCGATTGATCTGAAATCAAGTTTATACCAAAATTAGAACATGTATTTTATATCGCCTTAAATCTTAAAGGTAGTATTAGAAGACCAGGTCACTTTGACGGGTGGTGGAGGGGGCATTCGAGGCATCTTGGTGTCCAGCAAACAATTGATTTTGGGAGTCAGGGGGCGACGAAGATCTAGGACTGAATGTACAGTACGTTTATTTCATCATAAATCACCTTTTGATGAAAGGTGACGGGTGGCAGAGAGTCTGACTGAATGTCACGTTTTTTTCAATAGGGACATTTTTGGGTGCTGACACGGCACTCGGTGACATAATTACTCGTGTTAGCAAGTCAGCATGATGAAGGCATTTTTTAACAAACAAAATTTAATTATTATGTTCAACTACACTCTCAATATATTACTATAAGCATCAAAATTGCATCATCATCTACATTATAGTCAATTTATTTATATATAGGCCTGTATATAGGCATGTGCTGAATATAATATAAGGAAGTAAAGCCCTATGCCTATTCACGAGGAAATAACGTAATGAGTTTGTAGGGTTTTTTTATAGATCAGTTGGCGGAAGCCCACTCGCCCATTTCCCACTGCAGAAGTGAGAGGAATGATTAATATTTTTCAGTATACACTTTATATAATATACATTATGTTTCAACGAACCTTTTCCGTCGTCTGTATAGTCCCACTAATACGATAACCAGGACGACAGATGCTAAAAATGCTGTCGCAGAGACTGCGATTATGAGTGATGTGTTTACACCATCATTTCCACCGTTGACAAATGTCATTTGTGTGCCATTTGGTTTATTTCCTGTAACATTTGGTTTATTTCCTGTAACAGAAAAAAAATGTTATTATATGGTCTTAGGTCCGATTTGTTGAAAAAAATGTTTTAAGTCTACTACTGTACCCAACAGATTTGAAACATGCTTTCATTCATTCAAATTCCCCAGCAAATGAGTCAGAACTACACCTCATTTATTTCAGGCCCATACTACAACTGCAATTGGTAATGTATTTTAGAATGACAGCTTGGGCTAATATTAAAAACAGTGACAACATCGAAACTGAGCAAATGGGCCTGAAATGTAACATTCTCGAAATAAGTTTATTTTACAAATTTTTCCATTACCATGAGTTTCGCACTATTTCATACTGTTGTGTAAATTGAGATTGATACTGAATGACGCATTCATTAGTAGGCCCTATTATTGAATACAGTTCGCTTTATTAACATCAATCAATAGGCCTACTAATAATAATAATACTATTGCTCATGAATATAATAACAACATTTCATTGGTCAATTTCACTTGGTTGCGTTGTAGTGTTGTCAAAACAAAAATTAATTTAACCTTGAGGGCAGCAGAGAGAGAGCTTTAAACTGAAAATTATATTTTACCTTGGTACTCCACTTTATAGTAATAGTAAATCAGCGTGATAAGAGCTGCGAATAACTAACTTTATTAAAATATTCAGTCATATAATGATCATCATCACACTCATCATACTTTCCTTCATCGTGACCTATGCAGATACGTCGTAGAGATCTAATACTGGTCTTTGATTCTGGATAAAATGGATGTTAAAGTGTTCCGCGTAGCCATGTAAATGACAACGACTATGAAGACGATAACAACTATACCTGTGCTGGTGATCGAAAAAGCTCGCTCTTCAGTAGTTCTGATCGGTGGACCTGTTGACGTAGATAAACCAAAGAGTGGACACATAAAGTATTAATAGGCCTAATTGGTCTAATATTAAAAATAAGTATAACTTCTTTTTCCTGTCTACAATATAGTCTCAATAAAATTAATCTTCCCTTTATCATCTACTTAGTGTTTGCTTATTATGTTTCCTTAATTTAGATTATTAATAATTGGTTTAATATTAAAAATAAGTACTTCTTTTTCCTGTCTATATTATAGTCTCAATAAAATTAACCTTTCCTTTTATCATCTAATTAGTGTCTGCTTATTATGTTGACAAACCCTTTTCCATTATTCCCCCATGAGAAATCCGCTACAATAGTACTTCGCAGCTGATGTTATGGGTAAGGAGGAGGGGGTTGAAGGGGAGGTCTTCCGGAAGATCATACGAATACTAATGCATTGGGAAAAATTCTATGAATTGAAAGTTCAACTTTACCTGCATTTGTGGCTGTGACCGGCTTTTGGGTATATGTTTTGGTAGAGGGTTTTGAGGTCTTTACAACTGAAATATTATAATTAAAGAATGTTATATTCATTGATAAAGCAAATTTTTTTATAAGTTTAACGTCACTATGTAAAGTCCATGATGGTTACAGTAATATGATGATAGTAATAGTCTTGACCCATGAGAGGATTTATATCAAAGGCGTGCGGACAGTGGGTCTCCCCGCGTATACGATTTTTTTTTTCCCGTTGGCAAGGCCTGGAATCTTCTTGTTTTTGATAGATTTTGTAGCTTCGCATCGACCTTCAAGCTTGTTGGCAAAACTGAGGAATTTGGGAAGTTGCATACACGCGATGGAGCTAGTGGCAATCAAAGACCTATGGTCCGAGATGGTCCGAAGGCGCAGGACCTACGGTTCGGGAGATGGAACCTATATAAAACCTATGATTCTTCGAGGAGTTGGGACCAGAACTATGTACATATTGTGTGTGACTCTCCATCTTTGACTGTCTTCAAAGTTTCACCTAAAATCCCATCTTTTCTCTTTATTTTAATTCTGAACTTGATTCCTTTTCTTTTGGTTTTTGTTATTGATTGTGGTTTCTTAGCGCAGAGACGATTTCGTAGTAGGGCTTATGCGCTATAAAAGTACCGTATATCACCATTACTATTTTAATGTAATTATTTTCGTTAAATGACGAGGTACCGTAAACATTGGCTATGCCTACCTGGAGTTGTAGCTCTTGCTGTTGGCGTAGTGGTTCCTTTGGACGTAGGTGGGTAATATTGGCCACTCTTATCTGTATTATAACCAGATATTGATATTGTAAACAGAAATAATACAAATAAACAATAAAATGATAAAATCTAATTATGTATCAATTCAATATTGCTTTTAATTTTTAAAATCCTCAAGAAGTAAATAGGCCTATACAATAGTTGATACACAAACACGAAGGAGCACTAAAATGTGAATGAACCAGCTGTTATTAATGAACTTAAGTTAAAAATAGTATTTTCTTAGCAAAATGTCATAGGGTGTGACAGTGAAAAGGCTGTATGTGTTCACACTGTTGACTACAGTAGCTATTGATTTGGGCAGAATTAGTGAGGTCTACACTGCTTGTACACACAGTGTGAACACGGTGTGGAATATTGCCCACACAATATTGGTATAACTACTGATAAACACTCTGGATAATAATAATAATAATAATAATAATAATAATAATAATAATAATAATAATAATAATAATAATAATAATAATAATAATAATAATATTACTTCGTTTTATAGACACCCTATATGGGTGGCCCTGGTTGTGGTTATGGTAATCCTCAAAAGTAGAATAACCCATACTATTTTAGTATCCTATTCATTTATTACCGGTATTTATTTATTAATCTATCAATCATAATAAGTCAAAGAACAATAACATCAATTATTATCGAACGTAATTTTACATACAGGTGGGTCTGTAGCCACTCGGAATCCATTGGTACCACCCCTGATTCCGTCAGCACTCTACTCAAAATAACAATATAAAGGCACATTTTTCCTTAATTTCTGTAGCCACTCGGAATCCACTGGTACCACCCCTGATTCCGTCAGCACTCTACTCAATATAACAATATAAAGGCACATTTTTCCTCAATTTTTACAATATCGATATTGCATGTAGTGCAGGACCAATGCCTTGGAAAAAAAGACATGCAGACTTGATGATGCTTTAGAGTAATTTGGATGGGATCAGTGGTAGGCCTACTAATTATAGGTATTCACAAGAGCAAGGATTTTTGGATAATAATTTTAATTGACCTGGCATCCAATTTTGCTGGGTTTCAATTACGACCATTTTTTAAAATTTTATTTTTTATTTTATATTTGTTATTTTATTTATTTATTATTTTTTGTTGAGACCCGTCTAAAATATTTTACTTCTTACATGCCCGTATCCAGGTGGGGTTTTTATAGTTCGGGTTTTTATAGTTCGGGAGAACCTCCCTTTTCTAGCAAACCCCCTCTTTTCTGGCGACCCCCCCCCCCTCCAAATTTCCTGGCGACCCCCCCCCCTCCAAATTTCCAAATAAGTCCACCAACCCAACTAATGCACTCACCTAGACAAAGACCCTTTCAAACATATCTGCTTTTATGGCATTATTTAGACCCATAAAGCACAAAAATCACTTTGCTTCGGGGGTTTTGCCAACCCCACCTAACGGGCCTGTCTTAGGACAAAATAATGCAAGATTATGCTAAACGGGTCTAAATTATATTATGCCAAGAAGCGTAATTATGCTAAACCTTGTTGAAAAAAGTGGTCGAAGAACGCAACAGAATTTGAGGATTGATAAATATTTCAAAATGGACTTATTCTTTAAGCCGCACGCTTCAGAGATTATTGGCAATCAAACTACTGTTACTCCGGACCACTGAAACAAGTTGCTTTTTTAATTATTTTTATATATGCATTTATACACAATGATCACTACCTGGTGTTGAATTAGAAAAAAACAATATATTTGCAAATCTCTGTCATTAAGCAATTAAGTATAATAATTGTAGCTGAGAAATACTATAATCTAAACTAAATTTAGATTAAAACAGTAGGTATTTTTGTGCAACTGAACTAACATACAATCATGAATTTTCAAGATTTACTACTAAATATTCATGATTAAATTGCAGTTTTGATGAACAGCAAATGCCACTGCTTAAATCTAAATTTAGTTGAGATTATACTATTTCTCAGCTACAAATATTATAACTAAGTCCTTAGTGAATGAGATTTGCAAATATATTGTTTTTGCTAATTCAACACCATGTAGTGATCAATGTGTAACTGTATATTAAAAGTAGAACCTCCGTTTTGGATTTTACGTACGGAGACTCCATGGTAGGAGACTCCATATGGTAGATCGAAAGATTCTCTAAAAAATTAGGCTTAAGTTCTACTTGTGGTGACCTTTGACCCAATATCTATATTTAACACTTAATAAACGTATGTTGTAAGGCCTACAGAATAATAATGTCTTTATATTATTGTTATTTATCACTTTAGGATGTCATATTCATCACTTTATATATTTTAGTCAACTAAAAAACATGAAAATATTGTAAGATTACCTATACAAAGGTATAACCTGGAAATTCCCCTTCATGGCTATTAGGCAATTTTCGTTTTGACAAAATAATGTACATATGTTATTATTACTCTTATATTGTGAATAATTGTTGCACATCTCTTTAGCGATTGTGCCTCTGTTACAAAAGAGAAACAATAAAGTTATCATTATTATTATTATTATTATTATTATTATTATTATTACGCGGCCAGTCTACTACCAACTAATAGAGCGTAACAGACATCTGCGCATGCTCACAAAACGTACTGGCTAAATCGACGTTGTGATATTGACGTAGTGGCGACTACCCTAATATTGACTTATCAGATCAACGGATTGTTTGGCAAACTGCTTTTAATTTTTTTTTGTTACTTTTGCGAGCCATTCAGTTAGCGTTAGTATGCAATGTTATGCATACCCAGCTTATTAAATTTCGTGTAGTAAATTCGATCAAACAAGTTGTTTAATCGAAACTAAGTAGAAAAGAAATTATTTTGGGCACCGCCGGTAGTTGTACATCTCGCTCAGTCCACGTGGATTTGGATTATAACAGCAAGTTAATTAGATACAATCAACGGTGCTGTTGAATGAATTTAAAGAAAGAAAAATAAAGGAAATGGTAAAGAACGAGAAAGGAAAGAAATAAGCATTGTGGAAAGGAAAGAATAAGAAAATATAAGGTAAGAAAAGGAAAAGCAAAGGGAAAACATGAAAAGAGGGAGAAAATGAAAGGAGGAAAAGGGGGTAAGGGAGGAAAAAGGGGTAGGGGAAGAAAAGGTAAAGAAATAAATTACATGGAAGGAAAGGAAAAGAGACAGGTCGTATGTATGAAAGAAAATAAAGGGAAAGGGAAAAAAAGACATGGAGAAAAAAAAGAATAAAAGGTAAGTAAGGTAATAAGACAGAAAATAAACATTTAACAATTAGATAGATTTAAAAATTAAGTAAATAAAATTCTGTATTTTCAAATTATTTATTAAAAAAGTAATTGTATATTTATATTTATTGTTGTTTCATTACTGTTATCCATTTTTTTTTTTTGTGAAACTTTTAACAATTTATCCCACTCCATGCTGTAAAGCGCACAGAGGTATTTTACATTATGCGCTATATAAATTAACAATTATTATATTATTATTATTTTATTCTATTCAACGAGGCGTAGCCGAGTTGAATAGAATAGAACATCCAATCTTCCACGTGGAGATTGGATGTTCTATTCAACGAGGCGTGATAAATATACAGTATAATTAATATACAGTGTAACTAATATACAGTACAGTATACTTAATATAATATAATCTAAACTAAATTTAGATTAAAGCAGTTGGCATTTTCTGTTGAATTTGGCCGAATTACGAACGTACGGAAATATTCCATTTCTGTAAAAATTATAATTTCGCCCATCATAATTATAAAAAACACAATTAGTGTTAATCATTGACCATTAATCCTCCTCCCTTGTCTTTTACTTTAATAATGTTATCTTAGGAAGTTTTCTAAATGTTTTCCTTTTATCAATTGTTATGATGTGTTTTATATCTTTATTGGATAGAAGTGATTTTTAATAAATAATATATATAGGCATTGATATATAATACGTAAATTATATGATAATAATAATAATAATAATAATAATAATAATAATAATAATAATGATAATAGTGATGATGATGATGATGATGATGATGATGATGATGATGTTGATGATGATGATGATGATGATGGTGATGATGATGATGATGATGAACGTGTGGACTTACCTGTTGTACTACTTCTTTTAGTCGTTGGTGGTTGCTGTGCACTCTTACCTATTCGCAGATAATTAATAAGAATAATAAATTATAGATATTCATAATAATATAATTCATTATTTTTTTCAAAAATAATGGTATTTAGAACTATACATCAATTCCAAACGTCATTCTCATTTAGATTACGTGTGAATAGTACGGTATGTTAGTTCAAAGAGAAATTTCTCTGTTCCGACTTGTATTGTGTGTCGCAAGTACGATACATTCTCGGGAGAAGTGTGTCTAAAAAATGAGGGTACGCGCTACACCGTGACCAATCACAGGATCGCTAGCTCACGATGTTCATATTTTCATTATGTGGGCGTACCATCTAGCAAAACGATGACAGATCGTGCGGTAACCCAGATTCGCACCCTTAGTACTTGACCGACTTACGATAATCGTCAAAGTGATTTCATCCACTTTATGGCATTGATTTCGATGCGTCATTAATGTTAATGAGAGTAAACATGATCATGTATGAAAAAGTTGGAGCTGTATTAGTCAGTAGCATGAAATACAATTGAAATAAGTATAGTAGCACTGTCAAAACGCTAGCTTGATCTAGTTTCTTTTCATCAGGATTCACCTGACACGAAAGCGTGTATATTTAGACTAACTTTGTTATTCTAAACATCCTAAAGAAGGTGTTACTGTACTTTTTTCATGAATATGCATGTTTTCCTTGAATGTTGACAAGAACATCGTAGTTAAATAATAGACCCAGAGACGATAAATATTCAGTTCTCTTTAATTTGTGAAAGAAAACAATTGTGCTGGTTAACTAGAGCTTCAAACGGCTATCCATGTGGTATTACGGCCGTTGGTCCCGTTTAGAACGTGTTCTGATGTAACGCGCAATGGCAATATGGTGGATCCAGGAGTGACACCATCCCGGTACCGTCCCTGACTTCCACCCGACATCAGCCAAAAATAACTAGCTAAGTTAAATCATTTAGATATGAGAATAAATGACTAAGTGACTCCGAGGGTTCAAGGGGGTGGGGGAGCCTCTGTATCCTACATTATGTAAGGGAACACCTGAAAACCTTCTTCACTCGATTATAGTTTCAGGGGCGGATTTAGGTGGGGCGGCCCGGCCCCGGCACCCCCCCCCCCACCTTTTGGGAGGTAAAAAAAAAGAGAGAAAAAGAAAAAAATGATAGCCCAGAATGCCTCAAATGTTATGTTCGGGCGTCTAGAACACAAAAATTTCGCGGGGGCATGCCCCGGACCCCCTACGACAGTGTGGTCTCAATGGGCCCAAATTTCGGCCCCTTTTCGGCCCCCCTTTTGGACATTTCTGGATCCGCCCCTGAGTTTTCACCCCTTTCGAACATATGTCCGGAACATATGCCCAAAGCTGCCACTCGATTGCCACCCGGCAAATAAAAATCATGATCCTCCACTACATAGGGTTGTCCAACGATTTACCTTACTATTGGAGTGTTTCTCAACCTTTTTGCATTCGTAGACCCCGAGCGGTGTCAAAAGTCCTCACGGATCCCCATGATGGCTGGAAATGGCACTGCCAGACTCAAAATTTTAAAGTGATTTCCTTTTATTCCCCAATTACTTTTAATTTTGTAAAATTTATAGCGACTCATGGTTGATATTCTACTAATAAGATTATAGATAGAAGATGATTCGCCACAAACGTAGCACATTAAACAATGGCGGATGCTAGAATTTGAAATAGAGGGGGGGGGGGAGTGGTCAGAAAGTCAATTCTACAGATAGTGGTCAATACCACTTAGTCCTACTGTGATTGGGATGCGGTACAACATTTGTATGTTTAGGTACTACTAGATGGCCGGAAATGGCATTGTCAGACTCAAAATTTTCATGTAATTTAATTTTTTTGTCCATCATTTATTTTTAATCTTGTAAATTTTAGGCAGCTACCCTCCTGGCTTTTTATCCAGAATCCAAATAAAAGCAATACAAGACAAAACATACAAACAAGTTGTTTGAATTGCCACTATCAAGTGGCTCTCCTATACTAATATTTTCATAAAGCATATATACTGTCTCTTATACACATCTAGATGTGTATAAGAGACAGACAGTTATGCTTATGTCACAGGTATTTCATTATTGATATCGTTAAGCACCAGCAGTAAGATGTTTATCACCCTGTTGTAATACAAAGGAAAACAAAAGAATTGAGTCATGTACAATTAGTTCAAAAATCTAGCGGACCCCAACATTTTTCGTGGACCCTCACATTTTTCGAGGACTTCCTGCAGACCCTTTTGACTTGGCGGACCCCGATTATTTTTCGCGGACCCCATGTTGGGGACCACTGAATAAACATTGGTGCTATTATGAATATTTACTAGCATAATAAATTGGTGAGTAATTGTCCTACATACCAGTATCATAACAATTTTTGCACGCAGTTTCACCGTAACTGTCGACACACCTCTGCCAATCCAAAATCTCCTCTGGGCTTGACGTAGAACTAATGAATGATATAATAATTTATTGATAACGAATCATTATGATAAACTGTCTAAGATTTTTAATTAATCATAACTAGTGTTGCAGTAATTATAATTTAGTTATTTTCACTTCACTAATATATATCACAATAGAGGATATAGAGATGAACGTCCTTGTAGATATTTCGCTATAGAGACACAAAGCATTAAAGAATTGACCTATAAAAAATTATTGTACTGTAATAAAATGAATACCCAATAAAATAACGCATACATTATTACAATAATTACGGTAATGATAATGATTATAAATATCAATACTACTAAACATAATAATAGCAATAATGATAATATCCAATAATAATAACAATAACAGTAGCTTTAATATTACAAATGAAAATAATTACCACTACAACATAATGCTCAAATATGACGAAGCATGATAAAATAATAATAAGATAAATATATTTTTTATTGATATCTATGCAGATGACGCAAAATTAAAATATATTTTCAAATGTTTCAGCTAAAAGAATGTTTACCAACCTGGCTAACACTGCAATATTTTCGCATAATTGGTGAAACTCTGCTTGGAGAAAAGGATTCGTCATGTTGCTTCCTTGTAGGTATGTAGATCCAAAGTATGTCCCTTATCGATTAACTCAAAGAAGTTGAAAAACGTACCTCCTCAAAAAATATTGTTCAATAAATTACTTTCAAATCCCTTCAGAAAATACATATGAACTCAATACAGTTTATAAAATACAGAAACGACAGTCAATGTGATCGCCATCATATATTTTCAATGGCTCGATACCACTTAAAATATACACAAGCCAAATATAGCTGCAATATAGTATTAAATACGTCATAATCCATTGATCGTAGTTTAATCACATCCGGGACTTGGACCATTTCTTCATCCGTTGGCTCAAGATAGTGGAAGAGGCTATCAGTGGTTTATTTATGAAAGTAAGTACTCGCGATATTAATTCGTTCATGGTCAGCGAAGTTGTATGTAAAATACTGGTATTCCTTTCCTGGTCTTCACCAACCATTGATGACACGACTAACATTTTCATTCTACTTATCAGCAGCAAAGCAACTTCATGGTTACGTTTAAATTCTTCATTATTGAAACCTTTCAATGGATTATATGTTAAGTCCTGGACAATCCCTTGCTGTATTGTAAGATGTTTTGATGTAATATTCAATAATTTTTGGGGGTAACAGTGACACACTTCACAATGTGAAGATGCATTTTAAAATATAAATGTTATGAAAAGAAAAAAAACGTCATACATGACCCGAGGTGGTTCAAGCCCCTCTTATTTGTTTCTCGGATTAGGTACCGTACCGTATATTTTGGGTAACAGTTTTATCAGGGATATGTAAAAATAACATCTCCCGAGTTTTACGCATACAACTTAATGTTTGTATTTGTTTTAATCTATTCCTATTTTCTCTTCCAACTGTTTTTGGTAAACTTGCTTGGCGTAACTCTATTAATTCATATTTATTCTGTAGTTTTGTACTGCTGGAGCAGAATTTAAATCATATAAAAGTCCATGTATTTATCATAGTTTGTGTTTCAGTGTAACGTTTTATTAGTGACAATGTATTTGTTATCAGTTTCAGCAATCCCCCAGTTTCTAAGAAAAAAAATATATTCAATTTAATAAAACAAGAAATTCCAGCTTAAAGGACGCACAATAGATAGCTTTAGTTAAGCTCCATTAAGGCTAGCCATTGATGACATTGGTGACACAATGCTAGAAAGTTTTAATTGACATTTTCTCAAGTGCGCAAATTGGTGGCGCTAGGACTTGCCCGACGGAGAGGGGGATCCGATGTCACCGACAGAAATGTCGATTTTCCCGACGAGTATAAGTGGGCCGGCAAACCCCAAACCACTAAGAGGGGCAATGGGCAGAAGCCCCCGAAACCTCAGATTATTTAGGGATTTAAAAGACTTATTCAATCAATTTAATGTCTCACATTTTGTAAAAAAAAATACATGGATTTTTTTTCTCCCCGACGAATTGTGTTTTTTCTTCCCGATGAGAAGAGGGGGACAGCTCCCTGAGTGCGCGTATGTTCAAAGAATGCGCCCTGTAAAGACTCGTTGCGTTGCATTGCATGGTTATACATTTCAACAAGCGAACAAATATGAATAAGTACTTAATTATAACGGCACTTTAAAAAAATATTAATACTGATTGTATTTCAAATTGGATTAAATACATTTTGGCCTCTGCGAATCCATGTAAATTGTTTGTTACACGCAAACATGTCACTGCATTTGAAATTGTTACAGGAACAACAACCAATGATATTCGACCTTGTAAGACCAATCTCATCCGGAGCTTGATGATTAAAAACCTTATACAGTACATTAATCCAAGCGATATAGTCAAATGTATCGCATGAATTAGAGTACTGTGCGTTGTGAGTGTATATACAGTGGTGGGATTAAGAGAAACCATCATAGCTATCCTGCATAGCTTTGTGTACGCTCTGTGGTAATTCGGTGGCTTTTTGGTTAGTAACAGTAGTCCTAACTATTTTCTTTGAAAACATATCTGCGAGTTTCCGTAATACATCATAGGTCTACATGTGAGCAGGCACGTGTAGACTTATGTTCCGTCTCAGCTCAGGATGTTTGAATTTTAACCAGTGGCGTGGCCTAGGCACTCTCATGCGGCGGTCCGCAGGGGGACTCCGACCCCTAGTGGCCCCGAAGGGGCTATACCCATAGGTTCCTCAATCCAGCACCCTGACCAAAAATGACTTTGTTAATCATAACACCATAATGTGTTTCTAAAATCGACTGCAGGGAATATATCATATTATTTCCAGTAGCGAGGGTACACTGCCCTGTCGGCCCGGGGCCATTTCCGGCCATCTATATGTGCCATAATCATACATTTTCTTATCTCAGCCCCACCAGGGCAACAGCATAATGTGTCTCTGAAATCGACTGTAGGACATACACGGTATCATATATCCAGTGGCGGAATAAAGGGGGGAAGGGTGCTGTCGGCCCGGGGCCCTACAAAACTCGTCAAAACATTTTTAAAATGGAGATAAAAAGAAATTATATTCACATTTTTATGTCTGTGAGTGCGACCGGAGCCCAAAAGTTTTCAAAAAGTTTCAGAAAGCTACAGGGCCGTCGGCCTCATCGTTACGTCACTGCTTTTAATGTGCATTGCATAGTCCACGGCTTGTGGAAATCCAATTCATTCACTATAAAACTGGTAGGCCTAACTAGTTAAAAACAAGATATTACGATACTACTGGACAATATGGTACATTTGTTTCCGCTATCCCCTTGGATGTTATTGCTAACCCGTTGGGAATTAAGGCTTAAACAGCGTAAATGTACGTGACACTTAAATGCGTGTTTATGAGACATGCGCGTACTATTCATTAACATATTCTGATTGGTCAGTGGATATGTTTGATTTACAGTCCAAGAAGGTTCATTAACTTCACCTTGATAAATAAAATAACCAATGAAGAACAGATCTGGTATTTATTTAGCAGTAATATTTCATTTTCATTATTAGGCCTATAACACAATCATGAATGATAGAGATTCCCTACCAACCAGAAAAGTATGAAGAATTATGACACCGCCGCCATTTTACCGATGTTCACAAGTAAATCAATGGTAAGGGGTACATATAGAAAAGGTCATTAGAATGGAATCAAATTTACATTTAAAAAAATGTGGGTTTTTTTTGTACCAGTAAACATATTTGCAAGAAATTCTGAGCTTTTTAAGTGAAAACAGATGGAAAATAAAAAAATATATGTTGATTGAAAAAAAAATAAAACAATCAGATTTTCCCCAAAAGGGATGAGGGAGGGGGTAATAAACTAATATACTTTTTATGGGGCCTAATAGCCATTATGATAATAATCATAATAATTATGATGTTGATAACATCGACTAAAGCTCGCTATAAGTTTACATGCGCTTGGTTTATCCATGAAACATTTTACAGTTAAAAAATACATATTACCAAATTATGTATTAATACCAAACGCACGAATTATTTTTCTTTTCGCCGAACATCAAACGATCAATCCATTTTCCAAATTCCAGGATTACGAACATTTGTTGTTAAGCATCGGTTTTTACAGAGCTGTAGTATACTGTATTTATTTCAAGTCAGTACATTTTATGTTTGTTTAAAGGTAATATTTGACTAAAACCGGACTGTTTTAAAATTAGATTACTATCTATATCAAACGAAATGACCCATCGATTTCCCCATTTCCAGGATTACGAAAATTTGTTGTCAAACATCGATTTTTAGAGAGCTGCTGTCTCTTATACACATCTAGATGTGTATAAGAGACAGCACACTTCACAATGTGAAGATGCATTTTAAAATATAAATGTTATGAAAAGAAAAAAAACGTCATACATGACCCGAGGTGGTTCAAGCCCCTCTTATTTGTTTCTCGGATTAGGTACCGTACCGTATATTTTGGGTAACAGTTTTATCAGGGATATGTAAAAAATAACATCTCCTTAATTTTACTCATACAACTTTATGTTTGTATTTGTATTGTTTTGTCACTAATCTATTCCTATATTCTCTTCCGACCATTTAGGCACTCTCATGCGGCGGTCCGCAGGGGGACTCCGACCCCTAGTGGCCCCGAAGGGGCTATACCCATAGGTTCCTCAATCCAGCACCCTGACCAAAAATGACTTTGTTAATCATAACACCATAATGTGTTTCTAAAATCGACTGCAGGGAATATATCATATTATTTCCAGTAGCGAGGGTACACTGCCCTGTCGGCCCGGGGCCATTTCCGGCCATCTATATGTGCCATAATCATACATTTTCTTATCTCAGCCCCACCAGGGCAACAGCATAATGTGTCTCTGAAATCGACTGTAGGACATACACGGTATCATATATCCAGTGGTGGAATAAAGGGGGGAAGGGTGCTGTCGGCCCGGGGCCCCACAAAACTCGTCAAAACATTTTTAAAATGGAGATAAAAAGAAATTATATTCACATTTTTATGTCTGTGAGTGCGACCGGGGCCCAAAAGGGCCCCCAGTTTCAGAAAGCTACAGGGCCGTCGGCCTCATCGTTACGCTTGTGGAAATCCAATTCATAAGAACTATAAAACTGGTAGGCCTAACTAGTTAAAAGCCAGATATTTCGATGCTAATGGACAATATGGTACATTTATTTCCGCTATCCCCTTTGATGTTATTGCTAACCTGTTGGACCTTAAGGCTTAAACAGCGTTAAAGGTACGTACACTTAAACGCGTGTTTATGAGACATGCGCGTACTACTATTAATTTACATGTTCCGATTGGTCAGTTGTTAAGTTTGATTGACAGTCCAGGAAGGTTCATTAACTTCACCTTGATAAATAAAATATCCAATGAAGAACAGATCCAGTATATATTTAGCAGTAATTCAATATTTCATTTTCATTATTATGCCTGTAACACAATCATGTGGGATTCTCTAGCAACCAGATAAGTATGAAGAATTATGACACCAAATTAAATGGTGATGGTAGTGATGGTGGTGAGGACAACCTAGAAAAGCTTGTATTCTATAGAAATACATAAATATTCGAATCTGGTTTACTTATTATAACATATATAATAGCCATTATAATAGCCATTATGATAATAATCATAATAATTATGATGTTGATAACATCAACTAAAGCTCGCAGTAAGTTTACATGTGTTTGGTTTATCCATGAAACAGTTTTACAGTTAAGAAATACCTATTACCAAATTATGTATTAATACCAAACGCACTAATTATTTTTCTTTTCGCCAAACATTCAACGACTCATCGATTTCCCTAATTCCAGGATTACGAACATTTTGTTAAGCATCGGTTTTTACAAAGCTGTATTTATTTCAAGTCAGTAAATTTCATGTTTGTTTAAAGGTAATATTTGACTAAAACCGGACTGCTTTAAAATTAGATTACTATCTATATCAAACGAAATGACCAATCGATTTCCCCATTTCCAGGATTACGAAAATTTGTTGTTAACATCGGTTTTTAGTTAGAGATCTGTAGTATCGGCCTACTGAATTTATTTCAAGACAGTAAATTTCATGTTTGTTTAAAGGTAATATTTTACTAAAAACCGGACTCTTCTGAAATTGGATCACGATCTATACTTGATATTTGTAACTCGGTCAGGCTGGGAGCCTTTGTTAAAAAATAACGCCGGAAAATCCGGTTTCGGGGAAAACACCGATATTAAGGTACTGTATTCAATCGTTTCCACAAAATAACACAGAGAGGCGGATACAGAAATGTGAAATATAGGGGCCCAGAATGTCAATTTTACAAACGGAGGCCGGAGTAGCCCAACGTGGTTGGGACTGAGGTACGAAATTAATGTCTGTGGCACTTCTGATGGCCGGAAGTAGCACTCAGACTAAAAATTTGAATGTAATTTTCTTTTTCCTCCCTTTTTTGTAATTTGCAAACATTTAGGAGGCCTGGGCCAGTTTCATCCCCACCCTTGTATTGGCCTATGCGACAATTTTCCACTCTGTTATCTCTCCCTATTATTCATGTTCAATAGAATTTCAAAAAGACAACTTTCAAATACAGTTGGGTGCGGTCGAATATCGATTGAAACTGTGCCTAAAATATTTGATGTGCTAAAAAAAATTCACTGTGCCTCAATGCGTGTGCTGGTAAATAGAATGTGCATGAAAAAAAACGGATTGTATTGAAAATCTACTGTTTGAGAAGTTGCCCTTTGGCGTTACATATTTTCCTCTCATTTTAATTAATTCTATTTTATATGACTTGTAGAAATCTTAGAACCATGTAGAAAAAGGATCACGTATTTTGTTACTACATTAGGTACAGTTCTAAAAAAAATATCAGAATCAGAAGAGCTACTATATAGTCTACATGTATAATATATTTTGTATTGAGCTAAAATTAAATTAAATATTTAAATTACTTACTTATGCAGGTATACCGCATTTAAATGAGGATATTAATATTCATTTTTTTCCTCTTTTCTTTTGTTCCTCACACTGTTTTGCAATAAAATTTTAGGAATAGGTCTGTAAATCACTGGAAACTAAAATTGTTTTCATCTTATTCAGTGTATGCATGCACAGTATGTGATGTTTCAAATACAGTATAGTCTCCCTACATTAGAACATAGGCGTTTGTATCTTGATTGTATATTTTTCTGTGTTAACAATTACTATGGCACGTTTTGGCTGGACAAGTCTAGGTGATGTTGTAAGGCCGGATCTTCACATTTTCATGTTCCTTTTTAATGTCTCTAACCATAGTTTCCTACCACAGTCAATTAAATTCCTCTTTTTGATAAAAGTATTGATATTTATCTAAATTAGAGTTTCTATTGATTAGTTGGGATTAGTTAAAACTAAAGTTAAAATTTGTTATTTTTTTTACTTCTTTTTAATCCATGTAACTTCTTTTATATTTCATTTAATTGTATTGTCATTGTTCTATGTACAGTATTCCATTCTCTTGTGAATTAAAATAAAAACAAATAAAATATTAATAAACAATACAGAGTAATTAAAAAAAAACATAATAAACTGAATATTTTAATAAATCTCATTTTATTAAGATAAATCATGGAACAAATAATAATTACATGGTACCATCAAGGAGGTATTAACTTCCTTGGCACAATTAAGCACCAATTCGTATTCATGGACGTCACCTGAATTAAATGGGTTACAGGCAATACATTTATAATTGTTTGTTTATTTTATTGTTTTTTCTAGGAATCGCATCAGAATATACAATAATTATATTTTATATAATATTGTAGCTACAACAGAAAAAAAAAACTGGTTGAATAGGAGTACAGTAATTAAGTCCCATCCACACACTCAACCCCTGAAATAAAATATAAAAAACTCAGAAAGAGGAACAGCATAAGACTTGGAAGCCTCTTACACGTGCCGCACACCATTAACCTCTGAGGCACAAAGATAAACGTCTTGGACTGGTGTATGTTAAAATGACAGAAACCATGTCTGGCATCATCTAGTTACTTCAATTCTCTTGTCGTAGACTGGTTGTATGTGACGATGTCAGGTAGCTTCTGTGGCTTGTTTTAATCCTGATAGCAGGAACCATGTCTGGCATCATCTAGTACCTCGTTCTGTACCAATCCTGATTGGCAATGCTCTTGTGTGTGAACTGGTGTATGTTGTGTTGTCAGGTTTCTTCAATGGCTTGTTCTAATTCTGATAGCAGGAACCATGTCAGACATCATCTGGCACTTCCTTCTTTATGAATCGTGATTGTTATTGCTCTTGTGTGTGCTGCCAACAAAAAGAGTAACTGGTGTATGTTGTGTTGTCAGGTTTCTTCAATGGCTAGTTCTAATTTTGATGGAAGGAACATCATCTGGCACTTCATTCTTTATGAATCGTGATTGGTATTGCTCTTGTGTGTGCTGCCAACAAAAAGAGTAACTGGTTTATGTTGTGTTGTCAGGTTTCTTCAATGCTAGTTCTAATTCTGATGGCAGGAACCATGTCAGACATCATCTGGTACTTCCTTCTTTATGAATCGTGATTGGTATTGCTCTTGTGTGTGCTGCCAACAAAAAGAGTAACTGACAATGAAATGTTTATTTTTAACAATGACATCATCAATGAAAAGCATGGCTAATTAACGTGCTGTATAAATAACATTAGTGTTTTTCCATTTGTTCATTGTTTGCCGAATTGGACGTTGGTCCATGTTAAAAAGAGCCACAATATTTTCTATGTAATGTAATGTATGCGTTGCAAATGATATAATAAATTGAATTGAATTGAATTGAATTGAATTAGTGTTGATAATAGCTGTTCTATCACCAACATGCATAAGTGTATACATATATTCCAATCTACAAAATTGGAAGAAAATCCTTTGAAATATGAGTTGTACTAAGCCTAATAACTTCAAATATGCATATGTATTACCGGTTTTATATCTAGCAACAATCCCTGTGGTATGGACTGTAGTAAGACTTCTATGAAGAGTGGTGCAACGGTTGATGACAAATCTTGAACCTAACGTAAAGCATAATTAAATAAGAATTTATCACATAAGAATTAATAAGATTGTAATTTGAATATTGTGGTCTGATGGTTGTGGAGCTAAAAATTACAATCTCCCTTAAAATGATATGTTATGACATCAAGTGGCAAATCTAAAAGTATTGACAAGGGGAGGGGTAATACGCAAGGTAGGGGGAACTATCTGGCAGAATGAATTGGCTTAACCAATTGAGTGTATTTTTTTTTACTCAGCAAATTTACAGTTCATTTGTTCGTTCGTATGAACATAATCGATTAAAGTAGCACATTATTAATTGACTGGAATAGTCGTAGCAGGGTCACCAATGAGCAGGTTAACAGCATGACCCTCCCACTCCTGGGTAAAGAGAGGCAAACGTAATAAAGTGTCTTACCCAAGGACGCAAGCAATGCGACGAGCGTGGGCCGAAGAACTCCCGATCTTACAATCAGAAGTCCAACACCTTACACGCCGCGCCACACTCTCCCACTGTGAATTTACAGTAGGGATGGGGGAGGATGCCTGCATCCCCTCCACTGACCTTCAGACACTGAAGTAAACTAACACAGACACTGAGGATATAACCAACCTGTATGATTCGCTCATGTTCTTTCAGTTGAAAATCTTTTGGTTTGAGGTTGTCAGAAATTCCTTGTTTTCTTTTAGTGTGGATCAATGTTGTTTTGCCTGGTAGTGCATACCTAAAAGCATACCACAAATAAAAATGTAAACTTAAAATTACAACATACAAAATACACTTTTTTTTATAATATCATATTATTAAGATATTTTGAATCAAAGGTAAAATTCTATTTCCTTAGTGCTCTAAATTTAAAAGATATGTAAGATCAAAGTATGTTTATGAAGTTAATCTGGATTACGTGCTGTGACGTTTATTGAAAATAGTACATATCACTAATAAACTGTGGCACACATTTAAGAGTGGTTCTCAGCCAAAATGATTATGTGTGATATGGCGTTAATTCAGACAGCACATATCCAGAGGTTCCAACCTTTGGAACTCAAAATTCAGGAGACTGGACATTACAGATGTACTGTCTGGTGACGTGTACCCTCACCACAGCAATGTTGAAAATGTAAGTTTTTTTCATACATGCATTCTGATCTTTCAAGTTGTGAGCAACACTTGGGAAGTCTTGGTATGCCAATATCGTTTCAAGGAAAAATTGACACAGAAATACTCAATTATTGGTATCAAAATGCCACTAAATTTTTTTTTTTTGGTATTTAGCAGGCCCGTAGCCAGGGGGGTTTTTAGGGGTTCGGGCGAACCCCCTTTTTTCAGCGAACCCCCTTTTGCCAGCGAACCCCCTTAGCCAGAAAACGATCCCCCGTTTCAAAAATAGTGCAATTTATTACAAAATGGGAGCATTTTTGGCACTGTTTATTTGTCGCTATCGATCGTAGTCCGATCGTAGAAATCAAAACAAAGCTGCAGCCAGCTGAATGACGTAAC